GAAGAAAATTTTTAAAATTTTATCATAGAACTACATTATATTTATATATTGCCTATCTGCAAAACAAACGGTGAATGGGGAGTTGGCAGGGACTCATCGGGGATTGCACAGGTTGGGGAGTGTGAGGATGACTCCCGGGGAGTACACATTTCTAGGAACTCTTGACAGACTTTCTCTTATGGGAGTCATAAGAAAAACATTCTGCTCTCTGAGGAGTTCTGTAGGAGTACATGCATGACTTTCTCCAACAGGACTCCTGCAGGAATTTTTTTTGAATTCCTCATGACTCCATGCATGACTTTCTCCAACAGAACTCTCGACAGGACCCCTGCAAGAATTTTTTCGGGACTCCTCATGACTCCATGTTGGACTTTTCACTTTAGAAAGTTCCTGCGAGAGTCATCAGGACTCCCTACGATTCCTGCTGGAGTTTTTCATAAACTTGGGACGCCCGTTGGAGTTTTGCCGGGAGTCTCGACTAGGGTTGTGATTTTAAAACTTAACCAAAAAAGTTATCCTAACACCAATCGTGGCACGACTTCGAGAGCCGAGTACGCTCACTGTAAGAAAAAGCTGTGTCGTCGCGATCGCGCCGCGGCAACCGCGACTTCGTAGCGATCTTGGCACGAGTTACGCTATTTTAGCTAGTGAAGGCGATGTGAATGAAGCAAGAAAGTGCACTTGTGAGTTCAGCTGGTTAGTACGTTGGGATGGAATGTCACGATCCTGGATTCGAGTCCCAGTCAAGTCATATTTTCTTTCGTTCAGTTCTTTAACATCTTTTCCGATTTGAAAAATATGTTATATAATAAACTTTATATCTCTTTACTAGATATTCAAAATATATAGTTGAGCTGTCGTATTGTGAGTTCCTAACTGTTTTCTGCTCTTATTGTTTAGTTGTACAAGAGAGAAACGATTATAGATGCCGACACATTTCACCTAAATAATTTCGTCTTTTAATGTGTACTAGCGCCATAAATTGCTTCATTCTGTAAATCGAGGACGACGATGCCGAGCAACGAGATGGAAATAATTAACATTTGGTTGATAGAAAGAGATTAACATTCCTGTGCATTATTCTAAAATTTCTGTGCGATATTCTTATAGAGCACTCAATGCCTTCGATTTATCGTCCACAAATCGATGGATCTATCGAAATTTTTTCCGACAAAAGTGAATCGCTGTTACAAGACGATAATAGTGGTAGAGATTCACCAAACTACGTTGAAATTCATGAAAAATTTATTGAAGATTACATGAATCAAAATAGTAAGCGAATAAAGGTGAGACATGAGACATACTGTGCATTCTCTTTTATTATTTGTCTCGTTTTAGAGCTCATCTTCGATATCCAATAAAACTGAAGAAGAAAATGATTTACAAGGTGATTTTCAGCATACATCGCCGTCTCCATCCAGTAATGAAACGTTTTCTCGCCGACCAAGTGCAAAAAAGTTGTTTGAAGTAAATAAATGGAGCGAACAACAGCTACAACTGAAGCAAAGAAGATCACATCCAAAGGTAAGTAAGACATATTATGACAATTTATTAACCAGCGTTTAGTCATATATTGAATTCTTCCAGGTTTAATAATAAATTTATCTATTTTAAGAACACAACGAATGCATCTGAACTACTTCAGTATGATGAAATAAAAGCGGCAACCAAAGAACTCAATGACGTAAGTGCAAGATTTTACAATACTTTTTTTTACTCTTGTATGAATTGCTGACTTTTAAATTCGTTTTACTTCGGGAAGAAACGCATACTCATTACTTCTAAGATATATATATAACAGATTGTTAGTTTACGCACAGTGTACAGTACTCCACAGAAATAGCTTCTATAATAGCTCCTGATTCAAGAGAGATAACAACTCTTTTTTTAATGGAAATGTAGTCACGAGTCTCATCTATCTACGGTATACATTTTGTTTATTGGCTCTGTGTGATTACTGAAATACAACTATTTTACGATGAAGGATCATTTTTTGAAATATGAGGT